GGTAGAAGCGGAGGTGGACAGTCGGATGTCGGAGCGCGGAGGTCGGAGTGCTGCGCTGGTGGAGGTTGGAGGTCGATCAGTGGAGGAAGAGGTGGAACATCGGATGCTGGAGGCTGGAAGCTGGAGTGCTGGGCTGGTGGACGCGGCGCCTCGATTGTTGGAGGTGGGAAAGGAGACTCGGATGCTGGAGGTTGGTGGTTGGATTTTTGCGCTGGTGGACGCTGGAAGTCGATAGCCAGGGGCGGAGATGGAAAGTCGCATGCTGGAAACCTGGAGTCATAATGTTGTTCTGGCGGGCGCTGGAGGTCGATTGGTCGAGGTGGGGAGTCGACGCTGGAGGCTGGCGGTCAGGGTGTTGCGCTGGTGGGCGCTGAAGTCTATAGGTGGAGGTAGATATAGTGGTGGTGCTGGCGCTGGTCGCTGTTGGCGAGCGCCGTCGTGCCGGTCGGCGCTAGGGCCGCGGAACCGTAGATGGTCCAGTGCTTGGAGTCGTCGTTAGCTGTCATGGCCACGCTGTGGTCGGAGAGGTACGTCTTCATGCAGGTACGCCTTCTCGGATTCCGGAGTCGAAAATGCTGGGGTCGGAAGAATAAGAAGTGGATGGTGAGGGCGTGGATCTGCACGTCCTTGTAAAGGCCCCGTGTCGTGCGCGACCACTCGTAGCTGCGCGGATTCCACGGCGCCGGGGTCGGAGCTGTGGGGCACACGTGGGACAATTACGCTACCGAGGAACCCCACATACTTAACTTAAATATTGAGTGTTTGCTTAAGTTTATAATCTATGTGCAATTCTGCGTTTTCAGCCCTCGTCGCGAATGTTCCCCTATGTGTCATCCAACGCCATATTGCTTGAACCTCCTCCCTCTTCCTAGCCTTCTATCCTCCGTCGAGGACAGATTCGAGCCAGCCAGCGGCCGCGGTGAGGGACCACCCCCTGCGCACCCCCAGTGGTGTCGAGAAAATGCCGCGCCTGCTATGCCCTGGACGACCGTCGTGCGTAGCGGCCGAGGTGAGGGACCACCCCCTGCGCAGCCTCTATGGTGTCGAGAAAGTGCCACGCCTGCTATGCCCTGGGCGACCGTCGTGCATAGCGGCCGCGCTGAGGGACCACCCTCTGCGCACCTCCTGTGGTGTCGAGAAAGTGCCACTCCTGCCACGATCTGCGAGCGTGTCACGGATAGAGGCCGCGCTGAGGGACCACCCTCTGCGCACCCCCTGTGGTGTCGAGAAAGTGCCACTCCTGCCACGATCTGCGAGCGTGTCACGGATAGAGGCCGCGCTGAGGGACCACCCTCTGCGCACCCCCTGTGGCGTCGAGAAAGTGCCACTCCTGCCACGATCTGCGAGCGTGTCACGGATAGAGGCCGCGCTGAGGGACCACCCTCTGCGCACCCCCTGTGGTGTCGAGAAAGTGCCACTCCTGCCAAGATCTGCGAGCGTGTCACGGATAGAGGCCGCGCTGAGGGACCACCCTCTGCGCACCCCCTGTGGTGTCGAGCAAGTGCCACTCATGCCACGATCTGCGAGCGTGTCACGGATACAGGCCGCGCTGAGGGACCACCACCCCTGCGCACCCCCTGTGGTGTCGAGACAGTGCCACTCCTGCCACGATCTGCGAGCGTGTCACGGATAGAGGCCGCGCTGAGGGACCACCCTCTGCGCACCCCCTGTGGTGTCGAGAAAGTGCCACTCCTGCCACGATCTGCGAGCGTGTCACGGATAGAGGCCGCGCTGAGGGACCACCCTCTGCGCACCCCCTGTGGTGTCGAGAAAGTGCCACTCCTGCCACGATCTGCGAGCGTGTCACGGATAGAGGCCGCGCTGAGGGACCACCCTCTGCGCACCCCCTGTGGCGTCGAGAAAGTGCCACTCCTGCCACGATCTGCGAGCGTGTCACGGATAGAGGCCGCGCTGAGGGACCACCCTGCGCACCCCCTGTGGTGTGCCAACGATCTGTCACCGCGCTCTGACGTCTGCGTGTCACGGATAGAGGCCTCTGGACGATGCGCGCCGCCAGACGCCACGATCTGCGAGCGTGTCACCCGCGCTGAGGGACCACCCTCTGCGCACCCCCTGTGGTGTCGAGACAGTGCCACTCCTGCCACGATCTGCGAGCGTGTCACGGATAGAGGCAGCGCTGAGGGACCACCCTCTGCGCACCCCCTGCGGCTTCGAGACAATGCCACTCCTGCCACGATATGCGAGCGTGTCACGGATAGAGGCAGCGCTGAGGGACCACCCTCTGCGCACCCCCTGTGGTGTCGAGAAAGTGCCACGCCTGCCACGATCTGCGAGCGTGTCACGGATAGAGGCCGCGCTGAGGGACCACTCTCTGCGCACCCCCACCCCCTGTGGCGTCGAAGGAATGCCCTGTGTGGTATGCTGTGCTGTGCTGTGCTGTGTTGTGCTGCTGTGCGGTGAGCTGTGCTGTGCGTGCTGTGCTGTGCTGTGCGAGAAGGAGAAGGGGAGGGGGGAGGTGTGAGACGCGGGTGCGGCGCGGCAGGGAAGAAAACCAAAACCCCACGAAACATGTGGGGAATAAAAGAAGCCCTGCTGCCATCCGGTGCGACTTCGGAAGCTGAGCGTGGCGATGTAGGACACAAAACCCGAGTCGGTGAAACATGTCCTGCCGGCGCGCTGGGCGGGAGGAGCCCTGTTCGAATAACAGGTTGATATTGGCGAGGTTGTCCTGGTAGAGGTGCCTGCGGGCCGCTGCCTGCAAAAGCGTCTGGTGGTGAGAACCACGGGGGGCACAGTCCTGGTACGGTTTGATGTGTGCTGTAAGCGTCGGTGCCGTGGATTTGAAAACAGCGTCCATCTTGGCTCTCCGAACTCTGAGCACTACAGATCACTGTCTGTGTCGGGGTCTGGGTTGATTTTGGCACGAAGAACCGTGAATGAATTGTCAACCTTTTCCTCCACAGATTTGCCCACCGCTGTCGCGCGCCATTGTCCGTGTGTATCGTACCCCGCCATTTTTCCATTCGCTGTGACCATTTGTTTCCCCAACCAGATCTTCGCACCGTCGTTGTTGTAGTTCTGGTCCCAGCACAGGTGATACTTTGTGTAGCACCATCGTTTATCAGTCACTTGCTGTTCTGTTTTTTTGTTTGTTTTTGAAGAACACTCAATCTAACCACTTTTTGTCCTCCATATCTTGCAGCCTCTTGTAAGACAAATACAACTTTATCATATATGCTGTCAAACGTAATCATCGCCATTTTCGTGGGCCTCTTGAACGTGTTACTGTTGAGCTTGCTGATGTCATCCATGATGTTCTTCAACATGCCTTGCAACTTGATAACCAAGTATTCGGCCTTGAGTGGTTCTTTAAACCCTAATGCAACCATATGATTGCCCCTGTCATCATTGCCGTTAACGCCCCGGTTGCTGTTCATGCTCGCCTTGAGCTTATCTCTGGTATCATTGATGTTGCGCTTCAGGGCTTCGCTCGAAACTTCATTTTTTCGACTGTTTGCTTGACTTCCGTGACGGCGTCCATGGTTTGTTTTTTCTGCTGTGGCGCTTGCGGTGTTCGCCACAAGTTTCGTCTGGGCTGTGTCCCGTGTGAGGTCCGAGAGCATGTCGTAGATCTTGTCGATCTTCTCGTCTTTCGTCATCTTATACTTGTTCGCTTCTGTATTCAATCCTTTATTACCAGGTGATCCCCGAGCAAAACCTTCAGCCTTACGGACTGCGTCTTTTACCATCACAGGCCGACTCAAAGGAGTTAGTGATGAAGTACACAAATTCAGTATTGAAAATCTGCTTCGATATGCTTCAGCCAAGGAGCGCTCTTGAGCCAAAATGGCCTGAGCCAACATGGCTACGGCATCGACGATGACGATGATGACGGCGGTGGTGACGACGGCAGCGACGACAACGACAGTGCTGATGAGGACGATGGGAGCAATGACGAGAACGATGACGATTTTGCTGAGGAGGGCGAAGAGGCAGTGCGCGCTCTTTTTTGGTTGCGGCCGCAAGCGAAGGCGCAGGCGGGTCGGTAAGTCCGGGGCGCAGTCCTTACTAATTTACAGCGAGCAGCAAACTAGAGCGCGGGGTCAAACCTAAGCTGCCTAAGCCGCCGAGCTGCGCTGCGGTGAGCTCGGGGCGCCAGGGCCAGGAGGTCGGAAGCGGGCAGCGCGCGCTCACAGAACCTCAGGATTTCTGGCATCCTTTTTTACCGAGGAACCGCTACCGGACCTCGCAAGGCACTGCAGGACCCCGCCGCGCGCGCGCTCGCGGAGACATGCGCGCGCGTGGCCCGCAGCGCAGCACTTGGCCGAGTTGCCGGGCGCGCGCTGGCTGTTGAAATGCTTCGGCATGCGCGGGCGTGTGGCCCACGAGCTCTCATGTGACAGAACGGATAAAACAACAAAAACCGACGTTGAAATGCTTCGGCATGCGCGGGCGTGTGGCCCGTGGGCTCTCATGTGACAGAACGGATAAAACAACAAAAAGCCCGACGTTTGTCTTCTGATTTCGGCGAGTGCGCGCGCAGACATTTGGCGCTCATGCTGGGAATCGGTGGGGCGGCCCAGAATGGCTTCTGATGCTTGTTGATCAGGTTTCCCATGGAATGGTGAGGGATAAGTTGGCCTTTGACTGATCTTGACATGCGCGCGCAGACATGTGTTGCAACAGGTTCTGAGAAAGCACGACTTAGATCAACTCATGTGCACCGCAGAAGTGTTGTTTGACAGGGATGAAGGGGAGGTGTCTATACTGGGCCTGGCTGGTATGCGCGAACTTTGTATTTAGGATACACGATCGCGCAGAAGACATGTGAATGACCTCGGCCTCGGTGTGTGGGGGGTTGTGTGGCGTATAGTGTGATTCCTTGTGTGGGGGAGTGATCCTGTAGGGCCCACGGGCGCCCTCGAGGCACCCACGAGGCGAAACCCCGGCGGACCCATCAGATTCATTGGGCAATAGAAGTGAGGCCGTGGGGAACAATCAATGCCAAGCGCCGCCGGTGCGGCGGAAAAAGGGGCGTCCTGCGGGCGCGACCATCGCTACGGACACGGCCTGGCTGCGGGGGGCAGATGAGCGGACAAAGCGCCCACAAAAAGAACGTGCAGAGAGTCGGTCCGGGCTCCAAGGCCGCCCTCAGGAGCCCACAGGCAGGGCTAAACCTAAACGGTGTTTTTTGTTTTCGTTTCGTTTTCGTTCTCCCTCGTGTTGTCTTCAATCCACCTCTACCGCAAACCGAAATCGAAACGAAAACGGCACACGAAATCGCCAAGACACCGTTTGGGTCCAGCCCTGCCCACCCACGGGGACAGCTGGGCAACCAACAGTACGAGGTTAGGGAGACTCGCCACCCCCCCTCCTGCGGGAGGCGGCCGCATCTCTTTTCCATGACCGACGTTCTGGCCGTCCTGTCCGCGAAGGTGCCCGGTGATCGGGTGTTGCTAGAAGTGCCCCTGGCCCAAGGTACCCCCAGCTTTTCGCTCCATTTCTGGGCCCCTGGGGCCCTCTGGGGCTCGTTAGGGTGCTCTGGAGGCCGTCTGGGCCACCCCGAGAATCATGGGGGCACCTTGGGCCAGGGGCACTTCTAGCAACACCCGAGGTGAGGGTGCTGCGTCGTCTGCGAGGCTCTCGCGATGGGGGCGGACGGAGAAGGGAGGCACGGGACACTTTGCGGGGGGGGGGGGGCGCCCTGTCCAGGCGGAGAGCATGTCTGCTCTGAGCTGCACCAGCGGCCAGTCGTCGTTACGTTGCGTCGTCGTCGTCGTTGTCGTCGTGTCGTCGTCGACGACGCCGTCGTCGTCGTGGTCGTCGTCGTCGTCGTCGTCCTCCTCCTCCTCCTCCTCTTCTTCCACCTCCTCCTCCTCCCTCCTTCTCATCTGTTTCTTCTTCTTCTTCCTCTTCATCCGTTCTCGTCCACATCAAATTTCCCCCACCCCCTTGGAAAACCAAAGGGTACCGATCCGGACCTCTCCCGGGGTTCGTTCTGACCAGATTTCCAAAGCGAATCCAAACGTGGCGACGAGGGCTTCCCAGGAGGCCCAACACCGGGAAAACGACGCAAGGGCAGCGGTTTGGTTGGGTAACTTTTCCTGCTCTGAACCCCCTCCTCCTGCTACCGCTGCTTCCATCGTCCCCAGAGCGTGTCTGGTCTGCGGTCCACTCGGGCGCTCTTTACCCGTTCCGCGTGCGCCACGGCTGCCGCTGCTCCCCCCCCGGCACCCGATCCGAACGCAGCGACTGGTGTGCGTCAGGCCTGTCCAAGGCGAAGCCAGGACGAAGATACATTCGGGTGGGGTTAGAATCGAGAATATATGCGATCCAGCGGCTCTAGAATCGGGCGTTGGCAGAACTGGGTTTAGTGGAGCCTGGTTTTGTGATGTGTACTGGGGGACGCCCCCCCGCCCCGGTCCACTAACCAGAACTGCCGTCACCCGCAAAAGCACCAACTACGGCAGACCGGGGCTAGTGATTCGGGCCAATTCAGGGGCTCCAGGGCCCTGCTACTTACTAACCGGGTCCCCTTACCTGGGGTCCTGGCTATACCCGATAGAAGATGTATCGGGCGCCGCGGTCTTCCCAGGGCTCCCAACTTCGCGCTCTCGCGCCGCCCCCCCAGGGAGAAAAGGAGGACGAGGAGGAGGAGGGGGAGAAGGAACGAGGACCGCGAAGCGCGACTTGCCTTCGCAGAGCGTCCTGGAAGGCTCCGAGAGCGTTCCGGCACGCTCTGGGACGGACCTATCCTCGTCCTGGCCGCGTCCGGAGGGGGCCCCCCGACGCGTCGAGCCCAAGGGGCGCCCATCGTTGAGGCCCCATCCCCACGCTCTTGCGGCAAGGCGTGCCGGGACACGCCAACGCGTCGAGGCTCCTGGAAGCGGTAGGGCCGCATTTTCTCTTATCCTGTTTCCAAGCATCTAGATCTCGAATGGAAACGAGGCCCTCGCTTCCATTCGAGATCTAGATGCCCCAATCATTTGTCCCCTCGTTGTCCCCTCATGTGCCCCCATTCGAGATCAGCGAGCAATTATTTGTCCCCTATAATTGCTCGCTGAAGCGGAACAAAAACGACTCTGGGCTTGAAACAAGAACTGGGACTGGAACCGGAGCACAACGGCGCCCGAGCCGGGAACAAACGGCAAAACGAACACGAACAAGCAACGGCCCCGTCTTTTCCAAAAACCACTAGGCGCCAAGACATATGCTTGAACTGGATGGTATGTACTCAGGCGTGGTGCTCTCATGATGCAGTGTGCTCCAGCAGTGCCAGATTGCAAGAGCATGCGAAGCAAGTTCGGGTCATCCGGCACTACTGGACGCAGTCCCAGATGCACGACGCACTCTGCAACACGCAGGATGGAGCATTGGCGTTGGATCAGGCCACGGCCAACTGTTGGACACAGGATGAGCGCATGAATAAGGATCGAGAGGCAGAGGGCGGAGTCAAAGTGAAGGCAGGAAATCTGACAGTTCCGTTACCAATCCAAACTGCACTAGCTGCGAGGGGACCCGAGCAAAGCGAGCGCTACCTCAATATCTCAACCCGCACACACGCCCAAACAACGTGATGTGCGGGAGGCGAGGGCTGCCGGCCTGAGGCTTGCCCTCCTGTGCACGGGCCGAAGAGGAGGAAGAGCACTTCGGACGAGATGATCAAGGTTTGCTTTCATCCGTCCTCTGCCTCAACCTCGCCTGCCCTCCTACCTCTCCTCGTCGTCCTTCCACCCTTCACCCTCCGACTCCATTCCCACTGAAAAAGCAAACGGAAGACAGTGCAGGGTCGACTTTGCCGCCGACTGCAACGTCTGTCGAAGGGTGTCTAGCAACTTCGTAGCTCATGGCACGACAATGCCTGCCGTCGCCTCGTCGTCGCCACCGTCATACTCTGCCTTCCTTGCCTCTTCTCTTGTCTCCACCCCAAAAACTAACCGCTCAGAAAAGAAGGCGAACTCGGAGATACGCCTCCAGAGGGGCCACTCGGGCGCACCACCACCTAGGTTTATGCGTTTGCAAATGGGATCAGATAGCCCGTGCTCTTCACAGCAATCTGAACGATAGCCCGTGCTCTTCACAGCAATCTGAACTCAGGAGAGCCTTGAGCCGCTGAACCACATAAGGATCCCCTGGTTTTGGCGGCGCGCAGAACGGGGGTAGGGGGAGGGGGGGAGGCTTCTTCAAAGGGGGGGTGCCTCTTAGAAAGCGCTCGCCCTACATCTACAGAGGAGGCCCGCGCCCTCTAGGAAGCGGGGATGCTTCTGAGAAGCCTTCCCCCCTCCCCCCTACCCCCCTCTGGCCATCGCTCGGACGTCCATTTCCTGTGTTTTTTTTTCGGTTTCGTGCGTGGTTCTTTCGCCAGGTGATCAAGACTGCTCCTCGATGGTCCTCGCCGAGGCAGAGACGCACACGTCCGAGCGATGCCAAGCCCTCTGCGCGTGGCCGATGGCTTCTGGCTGCCCCCCCCCCTCTCTCCTGGGGCGCGGCGCGCTCCAAGGTTGCGCCGCCGGGGGCCGGCGATCTGGGGTGCCGAGGCCGCCCCGGACTGCTCGGGGAATGGCACGGAGCGGCTGCAGCCTGGGCGTTGACCTAAGGAACCCTGGATAAGGAACGAGGCCCCTTTTTCCCATCAGTTACACCTCGATCTCCCATGGGAAAACCTCATGAACACCTAAGGCAAACTGTAGAACAATCAGGGAACACCGAGCCCCTCCCCAACGAAAAGGGTTCCTTCTTCAGCGCCCCGACTGTAGTGGTCTCAAGGAGGGTGAGACACGGCAGACTGACGGAGCTGAGCAGTCTGAGGCTTCGTCTTCACACGAAGCCCACCCGCTGTCGGAGCTGGCAAGCCTTCGTGCTGCCTGGCCCCCAACTCGAGAACCCGATCGAGGTCACAGTCAAGCAAGCTGTAGCATCTTGGCACAAACTGCTGCCACTGCTCGGCCGTCTGCGGGCTGTTGAGGCCAGCCAGGACTGCCTGGGGGGCCTGCCTGAGCGCAACCACAGCTGCACTGTAGGCAGTACTCTGGGAAACTTGCCGCTCAGAAAAGAAGGCGAAGTCAGAGATACACACCCCGCGGGCCACTCGGACGCACCCCTATCGAGGATTGATGCCTCCCCATCGTACATCCCGGGGTTGGGCCCCAAGTTCTTTGCCCCTTTGAAGAACCCAGGGATTGGGGACGCCACGCCCCCACTTCAGTGAACCCTTCGAAGCCTTCGGCCAGCGCCAAACACAAGGACCCTCCCATCTGGCGGATCACCTGGTCACTGCACCGACATTGCGGACGTGCTGCTGCGGATTTTTTGCGTGGATTTCTGTCAATGCAAAACCCCGAAACGGCGAGTGAAAAACGAAGTGAACTTCGTGCGGAGTTGTTCTTACTCTTCGCTCCTGGCCAACCCAAAGCTCCGCACAAAATTCACCTCGAAATCCGGAACGAAATCCTCCAGGTCACTCTGGGCCCACCCTACCGCTTTCCGAACGAGATCCGATCTGCGATGTTGGCGCCATGACACCTGGCCCGTCGCCCCCTCACCGCGCGCCCGCTCGACCTTGAGCAGGGACCGACCGTCCCGGCATTCTTATAGTCATACCACGAAATGTTGTTAGAGCCCAAACATGTCCGAAAAACAAAACCATGTTCTTAGAACAGAAACCCGATGTGCTAAAAAACAAGACAGACTCCGCCATACATGTTCTAAGAACATGTCGTGTGAACCACAAGGTTCTTAGAACATTGTTTGGTAGGAGGAGGAGGAGGAGGAGGAGGAGGAGGAGGAGGAGGAGGGGGACGAGGAGGAAGAGGAGGGGGATGAGGAGGAGGAGGAGGAGGAGGAGGAGGAGGAGGAGGAGGAGAAGGACGAGGAGGAGGAGGACGAGGAGGACGGGGACGAGGAGGAGGAGGAGAACGAGGAGGAGGGAGGGGACGCCTCGCCGCTGCTTGATCGTCGACCGAGCCCCGCCCGGGCGCCGCCCGTCCTTGCCGAGCCTCAGGCCGAAGGTCACGCAGGCGCCCGAGGCCTGGCCCGGCCCTCCCCGGCTGCGCTGCTCGGCTCCGCTCGGCTCCGCGCGGCTCGGCTCCGCTCGGCTCGGCGAAGGCACCCCGCTTGCCATCGCTCGGGCGTCCATGTCCCGTGCACGTTTTCGGTTTCGTGCGTGTTTTTTTTGCTCGATGGTCCAGGATGGTCCTCGATGGTTCTCGCCAAAAAAATACACACGTCCGAGCGATGCCAGGCCCCTCGCCTGGATGCCGCGGCGGCGATCCCAACCTGCCCTCTGGGCGCAAGGGTGGTTTGGCGGCGCGCTTCCTCTTCCCACCCCCTCCTCCCCCTCTGGGGAGGGGCCTCCGCAACCCAGGAACAGTGCCAACACCCCGCCATCCCTGTCAACAGAACGTGCACAGTGCACTCTGCGACAGCATCTGGATCATGTTCGGGCGCCCCGCGATCGCTTCGCACTGTGTTTCGACCGAGGCGTTGGGAGGGGGCAGACTGCCCCGCGTGTGCAGGCACAGTACCACTGTCAAGAACCGATGCGAAGTGCACGTAGCGGCCAAACACTGGGCCATGCGCGGGCACCCCGCGATCATTTTGCATCGTTGCTCGGCAGGAGTGATGGAGGTGCCCTGGCACGCGCGGTGCACCTCGCGGGCGTCGCGCTCTGTGCCAGCGTCTGCATTGGTCCCCGATGGTTGTCGATGCTGGCCCCTGTCCATGCTGAGACTCGGGCGCTGCTCAGTGTTGAGAGGTTGAGAGGGAGGGTGGGAGTGAGCGGCTTGACCACTCCCCCTGGGTCTGGACGGGCGGGTGTCACGAACCGTTGGAGCGTCGAAGGCCTGGACAAGACTGCGCACATCATACATGCTCCTTAGGTCTTGGGCCAATGATGGCTTCCTGGAGGGGGGGGGGCAATGCTGCTAGGGGACCCCCCTCTCTGATTGATTGCCTCCAAGATGACAATTACCAAGATGGCCCGAAAAGCCCACAAGAAAGCCCCGAGAGGCACCTAAAAGGCCCCCAAGAGGCCCCAAGAAGCCCAACAGAGGCACCCGAGACGCTCCAAGAGGCCCCCCAAGAGCCGGCAAGATGCCCTCAATACGCCCCAAGGGGCTTCTGGCCCACCCAGGTCATCTCCAAATGATGCCACGCTCCTCCACTCAGAGCAGCTCCGCTGGACATCGTGTCTGGATGGGCTGGCGGGGATACGCGAAGCGTTAGTCATCACGCTTGGAGTGGACGCACGGTGTCTACTTACACGATCGCTCTTGGGCGCTTTCGGGAGCTACAGATCGTAAGACACCCATTGAGGCTTAAGGTGCGCAAGAGAAACGGTGCGGCCTGCAACACGACAACGAGATCATGCAGATATTTGCTGGCTGCGTGGTCAAGGGCGAACCTAGAGAATGATAGGGCAGGCAGAAGAAACTGGAACGGCCATATATCCCCCACCGTGCCTCTGGGCACGGAGTGGGCGTGTCCTCAAGTCCTTTGCCTAATCTTAAAATCCTCAATCCTCACTCCTGGGTCGTCTTTAAGGGGCCCGGGCCCCAAATTCAGAAATCTACTGGGGCTTCTCGCGTGCCCCCTGGGCTCCGAAACATTCGCCTGGATGCATCTGTCGGACCCAAGAGGGCCCTCAAGACAGAGCAAGAGGGCCCCAAGAGGCCCCCAAGACGGTCCAAGACGGCCCCGAGTCGCCGAACGATCGCTCCAAGACGCTGAAGATGGCCCCCAGACGACCCGAGAGGCGTTCAAAATCATTGATTTCCCATGGGTTTTGAAAGATGTTGGCGTTCTCGCCTTTTCGGCTTCCCAACGCTGCCAAACTGCCCTAGAGGCTCACAAGACTGCCCCAAGACGGCCCGAGAGGCCTTCAAGAGGGCCCTCAAACGACCCAAGAGGCCTCCAAGTGTGCCCAAGAGGCGCCCAAAACTGCCTCAAGACGGCCCCAAAATGGGCCCAAGAGATGGAACACGAACCGAACATCTGAGCCTTCCGCCCCAAGAGGCCCTTAGGAGGCCCCCACAAGCGCCCACGAGGCTCAAAAAGGCCCCCAAGAGAGAGGCCCCAAGAGGCACCCAAGCAGCCCCCCAAGAGGCCTCCAAACTGTCTCTAAGAACCCCCCGAAAGGTCTCCCACAAGATCCCTACGAACATCCAATAGGCTTCACACCCACAACCCAGGCATGGTGGCGGGATGGACCGAAGGCCATCCATTCGATACATTTATATTTTAGCCCGCGTGGACTCCGCACAGGGTGTTTCTAACAGTCTATGTTGTGCGATCCATGTGGTGCAGTCTATGTGGTATAAAATATGTGACAAAGCGTGTTCTACAGCTGCTGGCGGAAAACACGGGGGGGGGTCCCTACCGGTTCGACCCCCCCCCCTCCGGAAAACCGATGGGGGGTCACTACCGGTTCGAACCCCTCCCCCCCCCCCCCAGTCCATCATGGAAAGGGGGGGGGGTCACTACTGGGTCGAACCCTCCCCCCCCTCGAAAATCGGGGTGGGTCACTACCAGTTCGAACCCCCCCACCCCCCCCTTGAAAACCGGGGGGGGGGGCGGACAGTGGTGGGACGGTGGTGGGGACAGTGGTGAGGGGACAGCGGGACAGTGGTGGGGACAGTGGGACAGTGGTGGGGACGGTAATGGTGGGAACAGTGGTGAAGGCGGTGGTGAGGACAGTGGTGGGACAGTAGCACAGTGGGGAAAGTGGTAGGGACAGTGGGGACAGTGGGACAGTGATGGGGACAGTGGGGACGCTGAGACAGCAGAGTGGGACAGCGGCGGGGACAGTGGGACAGTAGTGGGTACAGTGAGACAGTGGTGGAGACCGTGGGGAGAGTGGGACCGTGGTGGGATAATGGTGGGGAGAGTGGGGACATTGACACACTGGTGGGGGCACTGGTGGGGACAGCGGGGACAATTGTGGGAACAGAGGGGACACTGGGACAGTGGTGGGGACGGTGGTGGTGGGGACAGTGGTGTGGAGACAGTGGGAATGTGGTGGAAACAGTGGGACAGTGGAGGGTACAGTGGTGGTGGGGACAGTGGTGAGGGCGGTGGCGAGGACGGCGGTGGGACAATGGGACAGAGGTACAGTGGGGACAGTGGTGGGGACAGTGGGGACAGTGTTGGGAACAGTGGGACAGCTCAGTGGGACAGTGTAGGAGACAGTGGGACAGTGGGGACAGTGGGGACAGTCGGGCAGTGGTTGGGGCCGTGAAGAAGGTGGGGAGAGTGGAACCGTGGTGGGAACAGTGGTGGGGACAGTGGGGACAGTGCGACAGTGGTGGGGGCACTGGTGGGGACAGTAGGGACGGTGGTGGAACCAGTGGGGACAGTGGTGGTGAGGTCAGTGGTGCTGGGAACAGCAGTGGGGGATGTGGTGCGGACGGTGGGGGAGGGGTTCGAACCGGTAGCGACCCCCCCCGGTTTTCGAGGTGGAGGGGGGGGGGTCGAACCGGTAGTTTTTCCCTCGGTTTTCGAGGGGGAGGGGGGGGGTCGAACCGGTAATGACCCCCCCGGCGGTTTTCGAGGGGGGGGGGGTTCGAACCCCCGGTTTTCTGGAGGGGGGGGGTTCGAACCGGTAGTGACTTTCCTCTGGTTTTCTGGCGGGGGGGGAGGGGTTCGAATTGGTAGTGACCCCCCCCCCCCGGTTTTCCAGGGGGGGGTGCCATGGGGGAGGGTTCGAACCGGAGGTGACCACTTCCGAGTTTCTGGAGGAGAGGGGGGGGGATTAGCGGAGGGGGGGTTTTGCCAGGGAAGGGAGGGGGTGCCGGCAGGGGGGGGGGATTTTCGGAGGGGGGGGGGGACCCTGGGTTCCGGAGGAAGAGGGGGGGAGACAATTTTCCACAGTAGAGCGGCGGTGGATCACGCTCTCTCAAATATGTTGTGCAATCTGGGTGGGGCAATCCATGTGGTACAATCTGTGTCGTGTAAAGAACTACGTTGTGCAACCAATAAGACGCAATCTATGTTGTGCAATGTATGTTGTGCAAACTATGTCGTGCAATCTAGATTGGGTAATCGATGCGGTGCGATCTACTTGGCACTATGTTTACTGTACAAGCTAATATATGCGGAGAAGTATAATGGTGGTGCAAACCATGAGGTGAAATCTACGTTGTGCAGTCCATGTTGTGCAATCTAGGCGACGGGGCGGATATGGGGCGGCGAAAGGCGAGCACGGAGCCATCAGACCGCCAGCATGCCCAGGCGACGGGCGGCGACGAGGCGGCGATGGGACGGCGACGGCGAGCACGGAGCCGCCAGACCGCCATATATCGGGGATGGACAGACCCCCCTTTAGTAAAACGTGGTTTAGTGAAAACGACCTGAGGCCCAAACCTGGCGGGCGCAAGCCTGGAAAATATCGACCACGGCGCCCCCTCGAGAACCGAAAACGGACAATCCACTAATCGACGTGTCACTGTTGGGGGTTCTGTCCACCCCCGAATATAGGCCCAATCGACAGACGGCGGCGAGGCGGCGACGGCGAGCACGGAGCTCCCAGACCGCCAGCCAGGTCCGGGTACTGAGAAGAGAAGTAAGAAGCCCCAAGTGCAATCACTCTCTGGGAATGTATACACACATATATATACATATATATATATATATATATATATAAATATATTTACAGATTGAAGGAAAGGATGCATGGAGACACGGATGAAGCTGACCGGCATGCGGTCATTAGCAACGCACCAAGGAAACGCAAGAACGCCCAGCAAGATGGCAGGCGGAGTGAAGAGAGGCTGGCAAACAAGCCAGCGGGACGGACGTCGGCGGTTCAAGGACGGTGCTCCGAAGGATGGGGCCCTGAGGACGAGTGGCCTGGAACAGTGTGAAGGCTCAGCCTGGTATCCGTTTCCTCGCCATCACTCGGACGTCCATTCCCCGTGCATTTTTCGGCTCCGTGCAAATACTTGCTCTCGCTCGCCGCCGGCTGGGGGGCCCCATCTCCGAGCCGCCGAAGCTGGTGACAGAACAGAAACCTCCCGAGACCCTCCCGCGAATCGGGAGCGGCCAAGGCAGGGGTGTCCGAGGAAGGAGGGGGTGCAAATCATGGCCGGCGGCAGGTGCGCGGCCCAGCGGGGGGGCCAGGGACGTGGTGGAACGAGAAGAAGCGCCATGAAATCCGAGGAAATACCATGGCCCCTGCCAGGATACCCCCCCCCCTGGTCTTCTGTCGGGCGTGTCCCCCTACATGGGGATTTTCGCTGGAAAATCTCATTTACCCCAAATACACCCCGAAAAGGTAAAACAAAAATAAAAAAATAGCCCCTTGGACTACTTTTTGATTATTTTGGAAGTATGCTTTACTTTTCGTCGAAAATCCCCCTGTAGGGGGACAGGCCCGACTTAACCCTGGTCATTCCAGAGCTCTGAAGACAGTCTGCTGCCCGAGCTAGGTCTGCGAAACTATTTGTATTGTTCGAGTCATCTTGAGAGGTGCTGTCGGTTTCCGCACGAAGGTCGGGCTCTAGGTGTGCTACAGGGCTGATTAGCACAGGAATCGATTCGGAGACATCAGGCGCGTTCGCTTCCCCCTCTTTGCCGCCCCCGAGAGCAGGCCCCCCTGCGGGCCCCCGCCCGGAGGTACTTCGCCGGCCCTCCGAGGAGGGGCTCCCCACGGGCCCGCGCGCGGGGGGGCCTCGCCGCCCGGCGGCCCCCCCCCGGAGGGGGGCCTGGGCCCGCCCCCAGCGGGGGAGCGAGGCGGTCGGGGCCAGCCCAGGTGTCAAGGGGGGGAGCGTCGAGGAGGAATCGGAGGAGGAGGAGGAGGAGGGGGAGGAGGAGGAGGAGGAGGAGGATGAGGAGGAGGAGGGGGAGGAGGAGGAGGAGGAGGAGGAGGCGGAGGAGGCGGAGGAGGAGGCGGAGGAGGAGGAGGAGGAGGAGGAGGAGGCGGAGGAGGAGGAGGAGGAGGAGGGGGAGGAGGAGGAGAGGATGAGGAGGAGGAGGAGGAGGGGGAGGAGAAGGAGGAGGAGGCGGAGGAGGGGGAGGAGGAGGACACCCCGCCGACAGATCGGCGAATGGGCAACCGATGCCGAGCCCGCTCGCTCCTGGGCTTGGGCGGTCCACCGGGCCCCCGTCGGCCGGGAGGGAGCGGCGGGGTGTCGACGCATCCCCCCCCCTGGGCTTCATCTCTCTCCCCCTGACGCTGCCCTTGCCGTGCTCTGCTCTCCTGTCGGCGGTGGACGAACCTCCCTTCAGCAAACCTCCCCTTAAGGAAAGCGGCCTGGGACCGAAGACGACGGACCTGGACCCGCAAGAATGGCGGCCGCGACGCCCTCTCGCGAACCGAAAACGGCCAATTCCTCAATCGACGTGTCAGGGTAGGAGGTCTATCCACCTCCGACTGCCCTTGACGTGCTCTGCTCTCCTGGGCCCGAGCCACTGCCTCCGCGCGAGGGCGCCGGCGGGGCCACGCGCCTGGGGTCCTTCCTTGGCTTGCCGGGCCGCGAGCCACGTCGACGACGCGAGGCACACGCGCGTGAGGAAGCAACGGCGGAGAGCTGCCCCAATCGAACCGAATTGTGCGACCAGCTCGAGGCCGAGGCCGCTTTTTGTTTTTGATGCAGCACAATGCCGTTGCGGGAATGCGGGGCGGGAAAATGACCACAGCCACTGCTTTTTGTTTGCGCCGCCTTCCAGCCGGCCGAAAAAGAAGCAGTGGCTGTGGTCATTTCCCTGGTGCCAAGCTCAACGAAAATGACCACAGCCACTGCCTTGTTTCTGCGGGCTGGAAGGCGGCAAGAAAAGAAAAGCAGTGGCTGTGGTCGTTTTCGCGCCCCGTAGGGAAGAAGAGGCCCGCTGGACAACCAGAGACGAGCTGCCACCTCGACCGCCCACGCCAAGAAGGCATGCAGGGCCGCGGACGCACCGACCAGGCAGGGTCAGCGCCTGGCTCGTGGCCGCTTGTCCTAGGAGGGGTCTACCCCACCGGGCCCGAGCAAGGGGGGGTCGGAGCATCGCGTCGCGTCGCCGATGCATCGGTGACGTCCGTGTGGAGGAGGTCGGGCTCTACATCGAGCCACACCGCCCCGGCATCGGCGATGCGGCGCGACCCTCCAGCCCCGTCTACTCAGGCCCCATCTAGGGAAACCAGAAGGTACCAGAACCGCTACTCCCCAGACCGCTCCCCGGGTGCGCTCTGACCAGGATTTCGAGGCGAAGCCAGCGGTGGCGACGAGGGCCTCCTAGGAGGGCCCAACAAAGAGGGAAACCAGGCCTGGATGTTTCGTGGGCGTCCAGAAGACGGGCCTCCGAGAGGGGGGGCGCACATCATGGCCAGCGGCATGTGCGCGGCCCAGGAGGGGACGTTGGACGTCGCCATGACCCCTGGGGAAATATCATGGCACCCGCCATGATACCCCCCCTAGTCTTAGGTGGTCGGGCATGTCCCCCTACAGGCAGATTTCCGAAACAAGAATGACAAGTTCGCAACAATTGTCAAACATACCGGAAAATCGTCAATAATGGTTCGAATATTCAATCATGGTCAGAGATACTGGAAACATCGTCCCAGACTATCTTTTGACCAGTTTGGGATATTCCTTTTGTAGAGGGACGTGCCCGACTCAACCCTAATCATCACCCCCTCTTGGCCGCTGCAGCCGAGGGCATCGGTCGAGGCATGGGGGCTGCCGGGGGGGGGGGGGGGGGGGGCGCCCACCCGCGCGCACGGCCCCGTGCCCCGCCGTGGCTCCAGCGGCCTCGGCCTCGAACTTGTGCAGGAACACGTCGCACCTGCGGGGCGGGGCGCGAGGGGCGGGACGAGGCCTGCTCTGAGTTTCCTAAGGAGCGTCGGGGGGGCGTCACCCCCGCCGACAGCCCCACATCGACCCCCGTCGCGGGCGCTCCGACCCCCGTCGCGGCGCGACGGCGACGCGAGGTTGACCCCCGTGGGGGGGGCACCCAACGGCCAACGGGGGTCAACCTCGCCTCGAGGTTGACCCCGTTGCGGGGCGGGGCGCGAGGTGCAGAACGGAAGTGAAGTGAAATGAAGCCCCGTCAAAGGGGGCCGCAAACGGCAGGACCCTACGTGAAACCCTCGGGAGTCGAAGTGCGACGTCACCGAAGAAGAAAAAACATCTGATGTCAGACTTGTCAAATGACCTGCGCCCCCAGCAAGAAGCAGCCACTCTCCCAGCCCCTGGTCTCTGCAAAACCTCCGGATGAGCTCTTCAAAACGCATCCACCTAAGACTTGAGGGGCGGAACGGAGTCAAGGGCAGGAGCAGTCGACCAACCGGTCGGGTGCAAACCAACCGATCTCAGAGGACAGAAAAACCACCCCTCACAATAAGTACCCCGAGAAGCGAAGCCCTTGAGTAAACGCACCTCGGGAAGGAATCGAATAGGACAGGGCTGTTTAATTAAAGCGCCTTGGGCCGTGTAGTATTGTCCCGGCAACACGAGTTAACGAAACTCTTTTCTACCCGACTCGTTTTTTCGGAACTATTATCTTCCCGCCGCGCCGATTCGGTTTTTCGTCGTCGCTTTACTAACTAACTACCTTCCTGTGGGCGTCGATCTTGTTCATTTTCTAACATCTTTACGGGCACTTGGTTGTTAGCTCCTCGCAGGAGTGGCGCGTGCGGGGACCCGCGGACGGTTCAAGCGATTCGCGAACAAATGGTGCCGCGTTTGGACACGCTCGACAGGGGGGCCGCTCGTATACTCGTAGCAGATGCTGCCAACACCTATTCGCACGACTTCTTCCTAATTACGCGCGCGATGGTCATCTTATGTGCGCCATGTGCACGGGGTCTGCCCGCTAATGAGGCGAGAGACGCATGGCCACGTTGCCCGCCGTCTCTCTCGATGCTCGACGTGCGCGGCGTTCGTTTCAATGTTCATCTGGCGTGGTTTTCCCTCAGCGAAGCGCAGCTTTGAAGAGCGGGACGGGGGAAGTATTGCCGTGCAGGCCCAGCCGCGGGCGCCAAGCATCGGGCCCAACACTTCCCCACAAGGCCGAACACTTCTCCGCCACTGCCTCGCGTTGCTCACGATGCCGACCAACACAGAAGGCCAACGGCTGGAGCTTTTCGACGAGTCTGCGCCGCAAGAGTCGCCTGCAAAGAAGCAGACACAGCTCGAGTTCAAACCGCTCTCTCATACAACGGGGACCACGACCATAATTGGGAACACTGACGTTGGGGACACCACACCCTGACGTGACATTGGGATTGCATGTATTGCGGTGCATTACTTTTGTTCTGCCGGGAGGGACCGCTCCCATTATCCCACGGTCGCCGAGGTCATCCCTCGTGGCGCTGTACGACCAGCGCTTCCGGTTCAACCCCCAGAACGCCTTCAAGAAATCGCTGCCGTGGCCGAGGAGTACTGGAGGGGCTGGACTGGACCCTTGTGCCGACCCGCTCTTCGGCTGGTATTGCCACACAGGCAGGGCAATCCTGACGCGGTGCCTGTGCTGGCGCTGGGAATTGCCCACCCGCCACTTTGCCGACATATTCTTACAAGCCTTGCTGCCACTTCCGCGCCCTCGGAAATGGGCCCGCCTTTACGAGGAGGCCCAAACACAGGAGGCGGTGGCCAAGAGAGCCCCCAAGACTCTGCCAAGTCTTTGCGGGCGTCTGCCTGGTCTTTCTTGGCCTGCTCTGCGTCGGCTTTGCTGGCCATGTACTCCTCGGCCTCGGCAGCGCTCTTCTTGAAGGTGCCCTCGGGCGAGAGCGGTTTGAACTCGAGTTGTTCCTGCTTCTTTGCAGGCGACTTTTGCGGTGCAGGCTCGTCGAAAAGGCTCCAGGAGTTGGCCTTCAGTGTTCTTTGCCGAGGCTGAAGAGTATCGGCGCGGTGGGCACGAAAGTTTGGCCATAATGTCTTGAGCCTACAAAATTTCTAGGGCACGGCGGGGACATCGACCCTTCGTTGTGGCGACTGCCTTTTTATCACGGGTTCCGTTCGTTTTCGTCTTCGTTTTCTTAACTAAAAAACTTTCGGGCCGCCGCGGTCGTCGTTGGTTTTGTTAATTAACCTGCTTGGGGAGGCCCCTTCGTTTTCGATGTCGTTTTCTCGTGCCGCCGAAAGAGTAAATGCCCATTGTCAGGGTCGGGGTGGCTTTCTCCCTTGAGACTTGGCCGATCCATTTGTCCAACGAACAGGCCATCCGATCGGACGATCACCGGATCAGCGACTGCGCAGCCGATCCGTGGCAGGCCATCCGATCACCGATCAGCCGCCGAGCAGCAAATCAGCCGATCCTCAGGACCTAGTCCACCCGACTACAGTGGAGGCCAGTCCACACGAAACCTTCCACAAGGAACCCAAACCTGAGACCCCAGGACGTCCATCGGTTTCTGGTGCGGAGTGCTGCGCCTTCCATCGCAGACCCATGGGAACCCAAGAGGCCCACGGCACCCTGGAGGCAAGCAAGGTGTTTCTTGGCCCACTGGATTGAGCAAGGACCGACCGTCCCGGCATTCCTGTAGTCCTGCGACGACATGTTCTTAGAACCCGAAAGTGTTCCAAGAACAACGACAAGGTTCTTAGAACATAAACCCGATGTGCGAAAACGAGACAGACCCAGCCAGAACTGTTCTAAGAACATTTTGTGGAAACCACAGAAAGGTTCTGAGATCATTGTTTGGCAGGGCTATAGGCGAGCCAGGACGCTTCGCCACTGCTTGACTGGAAGCGCATCGCGCCCCGTGGTGCGCGACGAGCGCTTATCTTCGCGCCCTCGCGCAGCCCACTTGGCGGCCCGGGCCGCGGCGCGCGCGGGGCACGACTCTCTCCGCGCCCCCGGCGGGGTGACCCGTGCCTGTCCGCCGAAGCCGCTAGCCCTTCGGCAAGACGTGGGCGGTGTGGTTCCAGTCGGGGCGCTGAGCTAAGGAACCCCAAATGAGGAACGAGGCCCCTCTCTTCCAGAAGTTACACTTCGCTTCCTGAGGCAAGCTGTGAAACACCTACGGGAACACGGAGCCCCTCCCCCACGGAGAGGGCTCCTTCTTCAGCGACCCGACGGTAACGAGGGCCGGCACGAGCTGCATCCAATCGGTGGAGCTGGGCGAGGTCGGATTTTGCGGCCACCGCGGGGCCGCCTGTGGGCCGTCTTGGGCTCGCGAGGAGAGCTCTCTCAGGACGCTCTTGGGCTTCTCCGGAGACTCTCTTGGGCCAGCTTGGGGCTCTCTTTGGGCCGTCCTGGGCCGTTTGGTGGGCTGCTGGGAGAAATCAATTGACGCTTGAGGGTCTTTAGGGCGCGTCCTGGGCATCAACGGCAGAAGAGAGAGGGTCGGAGGGGGCGGGAGGCAGCGGGGGGGGCAGGAGGGGGGACCGAGGGCAGAGGGCGAGAGCGGCAGGAGGGGGGGGTGGGTGGCAGGAGGGGAGCCGCCAGCGTCGTCGTCGTCGTCGTCGTCGTCGTCGTCGTCGTCCTTATCGGAAGCCGCGGGGGCAGGTGACGAGAGAGCAAGAGGGTAGGGGAGAGCCGAGGAGGGGGCAGCAGGATGGTGCTTCTGGAGGGAGCGTGGCCGGCAGGACGGGGGCAGGATGACTGGAGAGGGCGGAGGCCAGGAGGCGGGGGCAGGTGACGAGAGAGCAAGGGGGTGGGGGAGCCGAGGAGGGGGCAGCAGGATGGTGCTTCTGGAGGGAGCGTGGCCGGCAGGACGGGGGCAGGATGACTGGAGAGGGCGGCGGCCAGGCGCAAAGCAGGACCCAGGACGTGGGACGGGCAGCAGGTGTCTGCCAAGAAACCCTGCTCGCAACGTTCGCTGGCCACGCCAAATACCAACATGGTGTCCGCTCGAACTTTGCCTACCGCTGTCAGCGTGCATCAATCAAGAAACGAAACAACATCTCGGCTGTAACAACATGTGCCGTGAAAGTTGTGATACTCCTCCAGAGGTAACGACTTGCACACTCACCTCCTTTGAGATACGTATACATGCCAGGCAGCGGCAAAGCGACAAGCGAGCACCCGAAAATCTCCCATGTCTTCGTACATCTAATGAAGCCGAAGCCGCCTGCCATGTTGTAGCCCTGAGCTGTCATGTCACGTCACTCGAGGAGTTCGATGTCTCAATCCCCTTGCAACTATCCTATCTTCTTCAGGGCCCGCTCGAGTTCGATAACGCTCCTCGGAGGACGCACAAGAAGACTCCAAGTGACAACACCGAGTCATGGACGCGGCTGGACGCGATCCGCAGGAGGAACATCCTGGAGATAGCCCGAGCGGTCGTGGCCGCCGGGGGCGTCTCCTAGATCTGCTCCTGGGCTTCACCTTTCAGGAGGCAACTCCTGGGAAGTCGTCTTCGTCCGAACGGTGGAGGGCGATTAAACCCGATCAAGACACTGTTGAGCCGGACTGTGCTTAGGATTAAACCGGATTGCGCGGGATTGAAGTGAGTAGAATTCAGAGAGGTTAACTCGGATGTAATGAGGTCTGGTCAGTTTTCGACCAGGGATATACCAGCGCCTATTCTGAATTACTTGCTCACTTACTCCATTCTAGGAGTAGCATCCTAACTTACTCCAGCATTCGGCAAAGATAAGCTATGAAAGAAGAGAGCCCCACCGCAAGACGACGGCGACCACAGCCCAAACCTCGGTTGCTGCTCATCACGCACGTGGACCAGCAGAACGAGAGAAAGCTTGCAAGGGCTTGGGTTCCCTTCTGTCATTTTTAAAGGCACCACCCGAGACTCGTCAGGTACAGCCCGAACTTCCATGCCCAAAACGACCATACCCCAAATGACCACTCTGAACTGGTTTAGGCATGCTCGAGCAAACATCAGTATATGGGATGCCGACGTACACTTCTTACCCACGCCCACCGACCCCACACGCCCGCCTAGACTACTCTGGCCTGCCAGAGTCTTAAACACATCGAAAAGAGCCAAAGCGAAGTCTGCGGGAACGGCGCAGGGGTGGAGGCCCCCGAGCAGCACGAACGCGAGCGGGTCAGGGGCGCAGCCCCCCCCCCCCCCACCTGCGGGGTAACGAGGGGCAACGTTAGGGGGGGGCAGCTCAGGAGGGGAAGCATCGACCTGGAATCGGCGATACACCGATGGCAGATTTGCGATGGGCTCTATCCGACTGCTCCTGGGCGGGGTGGGGCTATCGGGCGACTGTCGGCGATTGGGGGTCCATGCAGCCTCCCTCTTAAAACCTTTTCGCCCCTGCACGCAAAACATTACGGATAACACGACCTCATCGCGGATCAAGAGGTCGCTAAGCAAACCGGGAACACCGCGCAAGCAAACCGACCTGCATCAAACAAACTTATGCTATGAACCGTGGCCTGAACAACACATCGACTCATGCTAATCGGATTATGCACCGTGGAATTCCCGCCTGAGCCTATCCCCCCGTAACATCAGGTCGGGCCTGCCCCCCTACAGAGGGATTTTGGGAGAAAATTTGAAATTGTTGAAAATGCTCCAACATAGCAACAAAAATACTCAAAAAATCGTCTCCCGACTATTTGTGGACTATTTGTGACAATTCCTCCTGTAGAGGGACAGGCCCGGTTTAACCCAAAACAGTGCCTGGCGTGCGGGGTGTGCTCGTCCACGCGCATAACTGAAGGGGCCCCATGACACACACAAATAAATACACACACATAAAACATTCCCCCATATTTTCCTACATTTTCTGGGTTGCCTGTCTTCCCCCCCACTTCCCATATTTTCCTATATTTTCTTGGGAATCGACGATAAATTGTGTCTGTGAGTTTTTTCCCTCCTGAATAACCCCTGCCCCGCACGAACCTCGAGAGCGCTCTGGCAACATCTCCTCCGGCGTGCCCACCCGCGGACAGCGCGAGCCACGGCCAGGAGGCGAGGCGCACGGCGCACAAAAAGCCAATGGTCCGGTTGCCCCAAGGAGCGTCTGCTCGGCGACTCCCCAGGACACCCAATGCCTCGAAACATAAAAAAAACTCATGGGCTTCGTCGTCTTCGACCTCTCGGGGCCCTCGCCGGGCCCCAGCACAGTCAGAGAAACGACCCGGGATGAAAGCCAGGCACGGGGAAAAGGTTGGCACTTCCCTAGAACAAGAACAAACGCCATAAACATGTTTTTGTTGGCGCTCCGCGCGGATTTCTTGGATCTGCACTGGACCCCCCTCCCTGGCGCGCGGAGCGCGCCAGGGGCGGCGCTGGAGGCGCCGCCGGGGGGTCCCAGGCGCCGATCCAAGAAATCCGCACGGAGCGCCAAAAGTTTATGTTTATGGTATTTCTCCTTCGGCGTAAGACATCAGATGTCTGGGTCCCAAATCCGCACCCACAGACTCCGCCAAACCTGCCGTGGCCCCCGCGCATCGAGGCAGGCCCCTCCCTCTCCCTCTCCCTCTCCATCCTCCTCCTCCTCCTCCTTCCTCTTCCTCTTCCTCTTCCTCTTCCTCTTCCTCTTCCTCTTCCTCTTCCTCTTCCTCCTCCTCCTCCTCCTCCTCCTCCTCCTCCTCCCTCCTCCTTCCCCCTGATCCCCCTCCTCCTCCTTCTCCTGAACCTCCTTTTCCCCCCCTCCCCCTGCTCCTCCGTCTTCTCCTCCTCCTCCTTCTTCTCCTCCTCTTCCTCTTCCTCCTCCTTCACAAGATCAACTCCTGCAAGCTGGGCCCTCATTGACACGCACCTCGTCGCCTGGGGCTCTAGATAACACGAAGCCAGGACTAGGGTATAATTGGGTGAGGATAAATCCAGAATCTCTGAGACCGAGCGGATCTGGAGGATGTCTCGGGCACCGCGGCCTTCTCGCAGCGCTCTGGAACGCCATGGTAGCGTTCCAGAACGAGCTGGAATGGACAGATCCTCTTTCTAGCCCCGCCCGAACCTCGTCGCCTGGCGCTCCAGACATCTCTTCTGCTCTAGGGGGCAAACAAACCTACCTCGCCTTTGACCACCCTCGCTTCCAAGAGATACCAAGCGATGCCAAACTACGGCCTGTACTGGTCAGGCCGCTTGACGAGGAGGCGCGTGGTATGACCTGGTTTTGCCTGGAAGCGAAAGCGGGGTGGGTAATTCACGCTCTGATGCTCGGGGGCGTGGCGATCCCGGTCGGCGATTGCCGAGGTCGACCGGGGGCGTGCCGCGACACCCGGGCCGGGCCCGCGGAGCTTGCCCAGACCCGGTGCGGCGGAGGGCAGGCAAAAGGGCCCGGGAAAACATCGGCACGCTGCCCAACGTACAGCCAGCACGTATACAGTCGGGGTCTTGACCTAAGGAACCCAAAATAAGGAACGAGGCCTCTTTTTTCAATAAGTGGACCTTCGATTTCCCCTCGAAAGCCAGAGGAAAACAAAAAGGCAAACTGCAGAACAATCAAGGAACACCGAGCCCCTCCCCAACGAAAAGGGTTCCTTCTTCAGGGCCCCGACTGTAATATGAGCGCAAGGTACGGATGCAAGGGCCTGGGAGGGCAATGTCGGCACTTCGCGTGCGGGGCGCAGCCAGCGAACGCGGCCGGGGATGGGCCGAAGGGGAAGGATGCAATGCAAGGGTAACCTTGGAAAGTCGCTCCTCATCCACGCTATGCGGGCTGACTGTAGAGGAACAAGAGAAAGTAAGCCGAAACTCTCGACCGTCCGCGCGGATCTCTCGGATCTGCGCTGGGGCCTCCTGGCGGTGCTGTCGGCGCCCCCCAGCGCGCCAGCGAGGGGGGTCTGGCGCAGATCCAAGAAGTCCGCGCGGACCGTCGAACCTTCAAGATGATGCCATCTGTTCTTAGTCAAAACAAGTGCTGTCCCAAACCAACGGCGGCCGCTGTTGGACAGGTGGCGTTCTGTCTCGAACTGTAAACGCCCGCGGCGGCACCAACAACAATCCCTGTTCAGGATGGGTAAGAACTGCTGTCCATGTTCCTTCCAAGTATTCTTGTACCCGTGTCGACCGTGCCCAAAGCACGGTGTTACCCAGAGGGGATCTCTGAGGGGATTGGTTGACCCCCGATCAGGGGCTGAGCCCCGATACAGTCGGACTTGATTGGAGAGGACACGCGAGAGGACACAAGACCCTCCCGAGGGCCACGCTGCCACAGAAATGCAGGAGGCATGGGTCGCAAGACGCAGGAAACGAGGGTACCCTTGATCTGGCAGGGTCGACCTACTAATCCGGGCCGCCCGTATACCTCCCTCCAAGAGGGTCTCGGGCAGTATCCACCACCGTGCCTCTGGGCACGGAGTGGGCCTGTCCTCGGGTCCTTTGCCTACGGTCATCGGCGTGACCGAAGGAACGATGAATAAGGAACGAAGCCCCTTTGTTTTCCAAAGAAAAGGCATAAGGAACGATAAATAATAAAAAAACGCATGAGGAGCCTCAGTCCCTGTAATCCCTGGAGCCTCAGTCCTCGGCCCTGGGCCCTGAAGAATCTTTAAGAGTGACCTGGACCCCGAATCTCGAAATCTGCCTGGGCTTCCCGCGTGCCCCCTGGGCTCCCCGGGCATCCTGTCGCGTGACATTTTTGGAGCCCAGGAGGGCCCCACCACAGGCCAAGCTGGCTCCAAGAGGCCCCCCCCAAGACTGTCCAAGAGGGCCCCGAGTCGCCGAACGATCGCTCCAAGACGCTAACGATGGCCCCAGCCGGCCCAAGAGGCCTCCAAGACGACCCAAGAGGCCGCCCAAGACGGCCCCCAAAGGGGCCCAAAAGAGGGAACACGAACCAGAAGTCCAAGCCTTCCGCCTCAAGAGGCCTACAGGAGGCCCCAAGGGGCGCCCAGGAGGCCCCAAGAGGACCTAGAGGTCCCCAAGAGGTCCCCAAGAGGTCCCAAAGAGGCCCCCAAGAGGCCCAAAAGAGGTCCCAAGAGACCCCAAAACGGACCCCAAAGGGCTCCAAAACAGCACCCAAGCAGCCTCCAAACTGCCCCCAAAAGGCCCCCGAGAGGCCCCCCACGAGATCCCAACAAACATCCAGGAGGCTTCATACCCGCAGCCCAGGCACGGTGGCGGGATGGGCCGAAGGCCATTCGATCCGCCGCCCCCTTTTGATTTATCAAAGGGGTGCCCGGTGTGC